CATCGAAGCGAGACAACCGTTGAGCGTGCAATGATAGAAACCTTCTTTCACACCTATAGACAATTATTCACAGGTATCTATCATTGCACGCTCAACGGTTGTCTCGCTTCGGTGCAAAGGCACGGCTACCTTTCAAGATGGCGCAGGTATCCGTGAAGGAGACTATTGGAGGACTTTGAACGACTTCTCATACTCATTAATTATTCGGGAGGGGAAAAAAGCGAAGGAAATACAAATAACAGAAATATATTGATTTATTGCATCTCCACCAAGGTTTTCAGTTTTCATAATTTTGAATAAAGAAGCACCGTTTGTTGTTTTCCAATTCCGGACGGCTTTCTGAAACAAAAGCTTTTCAAATTGTCTTTGTTTGCTTTTCATGGCATTCCTAATGAGCCTAATTCATAAGTTTTATAAGTATGTTATCTTCCAAGGAATCGCATCAGAAACTCGGTGGTGTAATGGTATAAGACGGCGCATATAGATTGGACGGTTCGGGATCGTTTCGTGAGGGAGTCATTTATCAAAGACCTTTTTTCACTAAATTGATTCTATATTTAAGTTGATTATTTCTAATACTTTGATTATCATTAGCTAGTAGTAGTTAGAAAAAGCTAGAAGTAACTAGAATCAAGGTAAGAGTAACTGGAAATAAGATAGAAGTAACTAGAAACAAGGATCGCTTCTCGGCCTTTTGGCTAAGTCCTTGTCTGGCGAAGCCCTGCCGGGAAGCGTGTTGGGGTTCCTGTGTTTTCTGGTATTGCTTGTCAAGTATCTGTACGCTGTTGCTTGTGGGATTCAAGTTGACCATGGTCAAGCAAGTGTTTACACTTACTGTTCGGAAATTGGATGGTGCAATTCCTGACTATACGGCTTTCTGCAACATGGTGGAGAAGGGGCTTTGTGGTGATGTCAAAGATATCGTCCAGGTCTCTAAGCGTGGTGATGAGTACTTGGTTTCTTACAAGACACCGGAGGTTATGATGCGTGCCGCGAAGACAACTTGCAGGAGAACGGAGAAAGGGGATTTTTATCTGGATCCGGTGGAGAGAAGGGGAACATATATTAAGGTGTATGATCTTCCCTTTGAACTGTCTGATACTGAAGTGGATGAATTTTTCTCGGAGTTTGGAGAGGTGGCTGCGATTGGCAGGGACAAGTTCCCTGGGCGCCCATTTTACAATGGCACACGAACTGTACGGATTTTCCTAGACGACGATGTGGTCATCCCTGACCGTCCAACTATAGTGGGACACGAGTGCAAGGTGATCAATACCAGCATCCCGTTTTGTTCAATGTGTAAGAAGAATGGGCACACGAGGCGCGACTGCCCGGAGAAGACGTGCCACAACTGTGGAGAGTGGGGTCATTTTTCTAAGCGTTGCCCAGAGGCGAAATGTAACCGATGTCATGGATTGGGACATTGGGCCCGTCAGTGCAGAGAGGGTCTCGAGGATAGAAGCAAGGAAGTTGGAAGTACGATAGTGCGGGGTCCAGCGAAGCCAACCTACGCGGTGGCGGCTGCTGGGGCGTCAAAGCAGAAGACTGGTAAAAGTAAGAGTGGTGCTGACAAGAGTGCGGGGGCGGTTTCGGTTCCGGGGGCGGCTTCTCTTCCCAGGGCACCCCTGGCACCACCGCGGGTTACGAGGTCGTGGTCTGAAATTGTTGATGAGGGTGAACAGGGAGGTGCCGGTGGTGTTGTCAAGCGCCGTCCGGATCAGCCCCTCCCGACGATCAATCGGAATGATGTTCGAAATGATGAAAGCCATATGGATGTTTCCCAACCGACGGATTCTCAGCTTCTCCTTCGGGAATATGAAAGCTATGAAAAGCAGTTGCAATCTGATGTTCAAGATAAGGGTGGTTCGGTAACCTGAGCGTATATAATATGGAACTTTGATTTGTGTTTGAAGACTTTTGTCATGGACGTTAAGTTTAAGCTAGTTGAATACGAACATTGTTTCCTAGTTTAAGTCATTGGATTATGAACACTCATAAGGTATCGCTTTAATTAGATTGTGTCCGAGTTGGATCAGCAATGTTACTGTTTAATACATCACGTTTGATTAGGTCTTAAGTGTCTTCACTAAAAGTGAGCAGTTTCCTTTAGTTTTAATAGTTAGATATCCGTTTGACATTTATTGGTTAACGTTCTTGTCAATTTATCAGCTTTTATGTAGCTTTTGGTTACCACTTGAGCAGTTGATAAGCTCATTAATTAGGGTTTCGCTTTTCATGCACTGACTTCAGTAATAAGAAGTATTAGTGCTTTAAGATGTTTGAATCGATTGCTAGCTAGTTTCTTCCTATGTATAGAATGCTTTGGACTGTGAAGTGTGTAATAATGTCTTTGAATTGTAATGTAAGGACTTATTTTCCTTAATAAACATTTTACAACATTAAAAAAACAAACAAACTAGAAACAAGGTAGAAGTAACTGGAAATAAGATAGAATACAAGGTAGGAGTACTTCCTCTGGTATCCAGTTACTGCACGTGGTACAAATTACAATCAGGGATTGGCTAGATACCTCATGAATAATTAATGAGTATGAGAATTAATATTCCACTTACTTGCTCTTGTGTCCGCCTCTTTTCCTCCTAAGCTATGCAAGACCCTTTTCAGATCTTCAGATCACAATAAATGGAATTTTGGTGAGAATTTCCATCGTAAATAACAATCGTATACCAGCCAAGCTGCTCCCGTGATCAGTAATATAGCAGATATAGGCGCGACTTTTCCTGCAGTCGTGTTTGCTCTCTTCAGATTGTTCGAATACATTTTAGAGAATGTTCCACGATGTATTTGAGCCGGATCAATGTAAAAGAAAGTTGAACAAAGACGGATTAAAATTAAAGTAACAATCCCTTATCGTCACAGAAATCAATTCTAGCATTTCGTGTTATTGCTGCTCTCGCAGAGGTTCGTGCTAGTAGGAAAGACCGCTGCATTGAAAGTGCAGAGATTTTTTTTCTCGACCAAAGAAATAAGAAATAGAAATGGGAAAGAGGGATTAATGCTGAGAAGGAGAAAAAAGATGAAAATGAGAATTTATTTATTGCGATATAATCTTTTAGGGAAAGTGTCTGAAGTGTCCAAGCTATATGATGTTTAGGAATTGACACCTTTAACCCACTTTTTAAATGCTAATGAGTTTGTTAATATTCTAATGAGATTGGCAAGTGTCCAAGCTATATGATGTTTAGGAATTGACACCTTTAACCCACTTTTTAAATGCTAATGAGTTTGTTAATATTCTAATGAGATTGGCAAAAGAAACAAAAGAGCAAAAACATGCTTGAGTGATTTCAGTAGCGAATATTATTTCAAAACTACTTTGAGCTCAGTTCAATAAATGCAAAGTTTCAAAAGGAAACATTTTTATTTAAGCTATACAGCTATCTCAACTTCTCGTAAACTACATGCAAGTAATTAGATTAGACACGGCAAAACATCGACGTCTGAAACGGACCTCATTGTCCAGAATTGGTTTTGATTCTAGTATCGACGGGTTGTGGAAGTCTGCAATACTTGTTTTATAATTCTTCCCATGCGCCCAATTTATTTAAAAAAATTTAAATCAACATTATGAACCCCTTAAAACAAACGATCTGTTGGCATTCAAAATAAGGAATTTTYAATCTTGTAGCCAATAACTGTTGAAATTGGTTAACTTTAATAATAAAAATGTTTCCGTTTGTGTATTTTTTTGTGTATTTATTGAACTAAGATATTTTGAAATCATGTTTTTGCTCTTTTGTTTCTTATGCCATCTCATTAGAATATTAGCAAAACTCATTAGCATTTAAAAAGTGGTTTGTGCGAACACGTTCTAATGATGCACTTCACAATAAGAATCGCGTCATTTACATGAATACGTCTTTATGGCATACGCATTTTAAAGAAAAAACAGTGTTACAGCCGCGCCCGATGATCTGAAGTCCCAAACCGCAGTATGGGGATACACCTGGAGTTAACCTCAGGTTGACATGGATTTTTCCAGGGGTCAGGTGCCCCAAATGCTATTCATTCATATTTTTTAATTACACTCCTGGAAACCCTTCTAGTATATCGGCCACAATAAAGCCTTCATCATCGTAGAGTACGGTTGCCTCGTGTACCGGACCATAGATTACAAAATTCAATCTAAAGAAAGGGTAAACATAATTGAGCTCATTCTAAACCATATCCCAAAATAGCATGAAACCTTACTAGAATACAAGAGAAAATAAACTA